AGGGCAGATCAACTCTTTATTAGTTAATAATTTATTCCTATGTTGTTTTCTATTATTTTATCCTTCCCTTGTAGCACCTTCATTTAAGACATTGTGAAAAATAATTTCAATAAAAAACGTAATGAGAATGAGTTGACCCAGTCTCGAACGTTAAGGATTCACTAGTGAAAGTGGTTCTGGAGATGGATTATTGGAGGTCACCAGGGGTTATGCTGTAAGCACTTCTCAAAACATGCATGAAAACTTTGGGGAAAAAAGGCTGATCTTAGCTCTTTTTTTGTGCTTAAACCTTCACCCCTTTTCTCATTACAAGTTAATATTAACGCGATTACTAGCGATTGGCACTTCAAGGAACAAATATAAAAGTCCTGTGGAAGTGGTCAGCAGGTTGATGTTGTGGATGCAAAATCAGTGGGATCCTTTAACATTTTTAATAAGTGTTGAAGCTCTTCAGGGATTTGTTTCTTTAAACATGGAAAATTTATAAAAAAAACTTGCTATGGTATAGAAGAAAATGTTTTATCACGTTGGTTTAGATTGTTATTTGAGAAATGCTCAGTAGTTTTAAAACGAAATAGATTTAGCTTAGTTTAGTCTTTTTGTGTGCTGTCAGATAGTACAGGTATGTGTACGTGGACAGGTTTAGATCTGTCCACGTTTTCTCTTACCTCCAGGATGGTCTTGAATAATAAATACCTGAAACAAATGCTGAGTATACAGTAACCGCAGGGAGGCTACTGAATCTTCTTGGCCTTAGACTTCATTTCCGCTAATGTGCTTCAGTGGGATTGTATATACTCATTTAATAATACAGGGTGACTTAGAAAAGTTCTGTAACATAAGCGAAACTGTTTGCAGTATTCAGATTGTTTATTCGCAGTCACACGTTCTCCCCAGGAAGCCATGAGAGACGTCACCTCTTGGACAAAATTATTAACTTTTTTAATAGCTCAACCTTTGCACAATCCACAACCTTTGCTCTGCAGACTAGTTCTTTTCTCTCCTTAGTCGTCGAAGAATAGAGCACCTGGAAGTCTCTTAAAGGTACGTTTCCACTGATGTAAACTGATTAAGAATATATGCAGTTATGCATAAGGTGTGCTCATCCTGTTCAGAATCTTAATTCAATGTGCATAACTTTCATTGAGAACCTTGTCTCTGCATTTGTGTTCTGTGTCAATCAGAATTATGAGGAAATCATTTTTTTCTGTAGTAATTTACACTACAGTGTGTACCTGAGATCTTTCTATATTAAAGCAAATACAGTATTTTTATATTTTACTACTGTGATACTACAGTAGTAACAGCACAGTGCTTTTGTTAAAATGATTAAAATACTGTATTACAGTAATGTTACACATTTTAATGCAGACTAAAATATCTATTTTTCCTTTAAGATAAGGAAAATGTTTTTATACAGTAGTGCTCTTGTGCTTGCAGCTTAGGGAACTGTATGACATGTTTACTATTAAAATTATTTTAGAAATAATTGTAGCTTTTCCTCTCGCTGTATTAAAAATAGTTTTGTACTAAAAATAGTATGGATTTTCTAACACTCACTTGGAATCTAGTCAGCAGAAATGGGAAATGATTCATAGTATAAGTATCCTGTATTATTTTTTGAGCATTTATTAAGATTGTTTGCACTTTTAAAGTAGGAGGCTTTGGCTCAAGCACAACACATTCTGGCATGTTTGTTATTTCTTGTGTGTGCTAAAGAGGTTACAAATCCAGCCCAATTAATGAGACTCATACAGTCAGTGTTTCAAAAAAATCCTTGTGATGCCAGCCAGGGTTTTCCAATCACATGATAGCATCATGATAGCATGAGTTACTTTATTACATCCTTTACCTATGAGAGCACAGATTCCTTTTTGACCTGAGCACAGCTGTTCCCATAGGACAGCAGCTGTTACTCTTTGCTCTAATAATAGACTGACTTATTAAAGCTTTATTTTACCCTCCAATTACATGTATGGGTATTTTAGGATTGCATGTATTGAATGACATTGTTCACTTAGGGTTGATACCCCTCAAGTGAGGAAGGTAGAATTGGAGGCTAATTATAAAACACTGTTTTTATAATGGTACTGTAGGTCTACAGTGTAAGCCTGGAAACATTCTCAGTTCCATGATTTGCTTCATATTTATGAATGGAAAATTTTAAAGATGTTACTGGTGGGCAGCAGAGAGTTAAGAAACAGGTGCTCTATTTTGAAATATATTGATATTTTGAAAAGTATGGTTACTAAGCAATAGTATATTAAGCCTTTACCATGATGCAGAGTACTATAAATATTATATTATCCCTATGAATGAATATCTTTTGACGTGGTAATTGGTGTCATGCTCAAGCCTCTACGGTCCTGTGTTATTCAGTTCATTTACATGCTGGTCACACCTCAATTTGTTTCCTGGACAGTCTTCTTGGGAGAGTTAATTGGAGGCATAAAACAGTGGATTTTAAATTCTGGAATCAAGTTTCTATGGTGAAAGGTTCATTGAAGCAAATTTAGAAATGCAACTATTTTAAAACCTTGAAAGGAGACCAATTTGGCTCATCTCACTTGTAATAATCCGAGAATCTCGTGTACTGTAGGTATTTCTTAATAGGTACACTGGGGTCAGCTTAAACATGATGCTTGTGCCATGTGTTTCAGACACCTGCAAGTCTTCCCAGTTTGGAAACAACAATTCTTTTCCACCTTGGCTCACTGCTACAACTCTTCGGCCAGATCTGAGGATCTGAAGAAAGCAGACTCAGTTTTACATACGTACAAAAATTAAATCGGTCCGTCTCATTATTTTCATTCTGCGAGTCAACAGTTCCGACATTAGAGTTACTGGTGGAGGACTGGTGCATCTCTCATCAAAAACAAGAGCCCAACAGTTTGTTCTTCAAAACCATCTAACTCTTGTGGCATTCTGCTAGATGTGCTGTGACTTACACACAACTCCAGGGCTCAGTTCTGCCTAGTTTTTTCTTCTCTTACAGAACTGTAAAATGCAAAAATCTTTAGTTTTGATGTTTTTTTGAAGTCATTTTCAGTCCTCCTTTCCTCCATGGGTGTCTATGGGAAGACATTTTATAATTATGCCAAACTGGCCTTTCTACTATCAACAGTGTGGTTTTGCATGGCTGGACAAACACACAAATGCACAAACATGTCAGTAGCTCCTAAGAAGAAGTTTACTCTTCTTATGGAAAATGGTTTTTGAAAGGCAAAATTTATTTTTTTAAAGCAAAGCTATACTGTACATCTTGTTCTCTTTCAGCGTTTACAGTATATGTTCTATAGCTGTAGCAATTAATTGTATGTAGATTTCATTTTGAAGCATCTGTTTTAGCTGGTATGCGTTGATGTTCGCTCAAATTTACATGATCCAAAAACATTTAATTGTGCTGTTTTCTCATTCTGTGCATGTTGGTTCCTCTTGCATATTTCTTTCCTTGAAAAAATAGCTGTGTAAACTAAATTTAGGATTATGTGAACATGATAAATGTACAGAACACACAGAACTTGGCAAAACTGAACCTCACTGTGGTCTGGAGTATGTTTGTAAATATGTGGTTTAGGCTTTGGATTCTAGGTTTGAAGTACAATTTCTGCTCTGTCCTGTAGCAGCTGCAGTTATTGGAGACTTCTCTTTGAAATATGACTGCAGGAAAATACTTCTGTGCCAGCTAAGATTTAATTTATACATTCCAGGTTTGATTTAGTTTGTATATATTTTTTAATTCTGTTAGGGTCCCAATTTGCCTTTCCTTCTCCGCACAGGGGTACCTTTTATTCATTTGACCATTGCACATTTATAAATTACACCATGTCATTATACTATCATTAAACTTTAGATATTCATATCCTGTTTCCAAATAAGTTCATGAACCTTGTCTGTTAAGTTACATTTCCCAATGCATTCTGGAGCATGTCAGAAGAAACTTAATAGGACATAAAGGCAGCAACTTAATTGTATGTTACCCAGGAATACTTGATCTCGTGACTCATGCTTCCTACAGGTAAAATCATTCAGATTCAGGGCAGGTAGCATGGGTGACCAAACAATATCTCCACAACTTGGATGGTCTGTTTTTCTCGAAGTGTTTTAGCTGAGGTAAAGGTGCTGAATAAAATGCTGCAATACTCTTACAGGAGTGATTCAAAAGCCCCATTTGGGTGGTTAGTGTAGGCTTTTCTCCTGGTCAAACATACTTCCATTCTCAAATCCCTTGATGTCCTCAAGGTGTGGTGGTGCTTATGATCTCAGTGGTCAATAGATTTGAAACTTACTGTATAACTGTCATGTACATGTATTTTTTCCAGTTATATAAGAATTCTGTCTCTGATAATTGGTTCTCACTCTATTTTCAATATCCTACACCATGTAAGGTATAATGCTATATGTTAGTGATACCGTATTACCATTTTATCACTCTGGAGCCTTTTCACTGTGATTTCATTATTTCACTTATCTACTCAGCCTTATTTCCAGATTTGTTTAATCAATATTCCCAAATCATTACAAATTGCTATAATCTTCTTTGAAAGTTTTTTGAATAAAATTGCAGTAATGAGTCGGCTTTATCCACATAACTAGAATGTTGGCTACACAATTATGTGTGTCTCCTGTTTTCTCTTAATTGGCCCTAAACTTGATTTCCACTTTTGTCCTTTGGGTCTTTGTGTTGCTGCTGAACTTAAATAATTGAGTTGACTCAGCCAGTGCTGCTCAGGATTTTGAATACCTGAATCAAATTCCCACATAATCTTTTCATGTCCCAGACTAAAAATATTCAATTCCCTTTTGTACGTCTGGGTATGGTATTCCCTTCAGATCTGGAATTGGCCTGGTTCGTGTTGGCGTATATAAAGGTGATTGTTCTGTGCGTCTGGCATACAAGGCCGCATAGTGAAAGTCTAATGCTCATTAATCTAAAGATAATAAAGCCGTGCAGTGGCTGAGCATTTAACCAATCGCCTTTTTCCACTGTGTCCCCACAGGCTCCATTGAGTATGTGTCGCTGCTGAGGTCTGCTGCTTGCAACAACGTTCTAGAGGAGCTGCTTTTCATTTAGACACGTCTGTGCATTGTGTGAGGCTGGCCTTCAATCATGTCGACAGAAGTGGAGACAAATGCAAACAACCAGGCAGATCTGGCTGCTGTGAAGACTCCATCTAAAAAGGAAAAGAAGAAAGGTAAGGGAAGAGGGCATCCAATATTCATGTGGAGACGTACAACAATTCACTGATCTGAAAGGTGTGATTCATAGCTCAGCTACTGCAGATCTTTACAGCCTTTTGGAGGTACACTTAAACACCTGGCCAGTATCTTGAAGAACAGTACTCCACCTTGGATTAACATAAAAAAAATCAACTTGTTTGTAACAGGTATGCCACCGCGATAATTTTCCCACAGCCCAATGCAGTATATTTTTATTTCAGATATCAGATCGTTCAGATATCACTAAATGGACATGCTGGATTTGCTCAGCTCATACTTTATTCCATATTTCTTTGTACCTTTCAAGTCTAATTCCAGATTCTCCAAGTAACAACACATAAGTAACAAACATAATTCTCCAAGTCACAAACATAATGCATCTGAACAGACAACCCCTGGATAAATCTCATTTACTTGTGAGTTTGAAATGCAAACAGGAAATCCACACCCAGATTTATATAGAAGCATCAATTTTCGTTATCTTGTGTTATTTCCTTATGTAACAGTACATTACAAATTGCTGTGGAATAGGCCAGTTACAGTATCCTAATGTGTGCCCTGACTTTTCAATGGCTGTGCATCGGAATGGCATATTAAATTGCTGGTTAAGTCTTTATAACCCACGGCAAAGACAATTGACTGATCCTAATCTACAGTCTATGTCGATGCTATCTGGAACAGAACTCTAGGAATATGGAATAGTCTATTTTATAGAAATGTAATTTGCTATTTTTTTCAGCCCTTACTTTATTTATTTGAGTTATTGAGTTGTAAAATGAATTAAAATGTTATCCAGCGGGACAAACAAGTTACTCCAGCAATAGTAATTTAAAAATAATCTGGGCAGCAAGAAGAAGAAAAATAATTAAACAGGTCATTTCAATTTTATACAGTAGTTTAATATTACAGCATTTTAAACACTTTAACACAAACTAGATGTCACCTGTGTTGCTCATATCTACGTTTTATGTCAAATCTCACCTTTCATCCTTTATTTGAATAATGTGATGTGGATTTTTCTGGTAAAAAAAGATCAGTCATTTTCATTTGACTGAAGAAAAATGAGTATGTTCTCTTGTGATAGGATTTTTCAAAACTTAATCAGACCACAAACGAAAACTAACCAAAGTATGCAACGTTTCCAGGGATGCTCAAAACGCACGTTGCTGGGGTGTATGTCCAGGCATAAAATTACTTCTTGCCCACTTCTACCTTACTGTTCGTGATGTGAGCCTTGATATCCTAACAGTTTAAGATATCTATGGAGTGTGTGACAAGGCCTGAATAGAGAAGTTATTTTGACTTGACAGTTTGTGAGTTTTCCCATTTGCAGTGCAATATGGCAAACAACTTGAAACTTTTTGTTTACTCTGTGTTGAAATGTCAAGACTGTGTCCAGCATTACAGCACATTCCTGGAGTAATATCTGCTTTATTTGTTCTAACAGAATTTAATTCCCTTGACATGAAATGTACTTTCTCATTACTAACAACAACTGCAGCTCAGTTTATATTCACTTGTATGACAAAATAAAAACATTACGTGAGACTTTCTGACTCTGCAGTAACCTTGACGTTATAATAGTAGTTATCATGGTTTTCATAGAATGACCCACTTCCTTAAGAATACATTATACTGTAACAGCAAACCTTGTTGTATTTAGGAATTGTCAATCCATGCACACTGCAGAGCTTGGCAAACTAGTTATGTTTATATGAGATTTGAAAAAATGTACAGATCAAAACTTTGAACATTTAAAGATGCTTGGCTGTTATGATGTGTGATTTCATATGATCCAAAAAACCTTTTATTAAAGATGCATTTATAATATATCTACTGTTTTTGATGAGCAGTTGTGAACAGAACAGGAGGAATGTTTAGATAAGATGTTTCCACAATTTTATATCTGGTGCAATGTTCTGTTTCTTCAGTGTTGAGTGAAATTCAACAAATGGATATTTCTCAGTATGTGTGAGTAACCAGAGATACTATAAGTTGAAGTTTCTTGTACTTTTTACCGATATGTAGTTGACAACCATTATGTAAATTAAACAATATTTTAAATAGTTCCTTTTTGCTAGATATTTAGGTGCAGTGTTTTACAGTAAATGCTTTGTAAAATACTGTAGATTTTACTGATGAATATCCAATCACTACCAGGACAGCTTTTGGTTATAAATGTGTCTTTCAGTTGTCCGTGCTTTGGTGTGCTAGAGTGGTCATTCAGTCTAGGGAATGGAAACTATCAATTTCTTCCACTTCTGCATCATCTGTTCAGAATTAATAGATTCACATCCTTTTGGTGTAGTGAAGGATGCCTTCTCATGCTAAGCTTCAGGAGGAAAGGGACTAGAATTCGTTTTTTCTTATAAATAAAACCACAGTAAAAATATATTAAAATAATTTCTTATGTGCTTTATGATTCAGTGTGGAAGTATTTTCAGAACTAAAGAGTTATTTTACTATGTGATTTCTTTACCAAAGCATTTCAAAACATTTATAAATGATAAAAATAGTATCTACTGTATATATAGTTTTGACTATACATTTTTGACATTGCTACCCTTCATGTAATCCCATGCTGAAAGACTTAAGTTCACAATTAGTACCTTTGTACCATTTTATAATGCAGAAAAGTGACTCCTTCTGGTAGGAGATTTCAGAAACCTATTTTTAACTTAAGATATTGACATTGCAGAGTTTTAATTCCTAAAGGCAAATTTTCAGCTAAATTCTCTACTTTCACAGATCAGCAATTTCCAAAGAGTGATAAATATACAGTACACATTAACTCAGGTTTTAAGTATTTCACATCGGTATTTTCAGACAAAAGCTGCAGTATTTACAACTGTAAGTTCGTGCCAACTGTAGGATCTAAATTCATCCTTAATAACTATTTACCGCTGAAAAATTGTAACAAATACAAATGAGACAGCAGATGATGTATTACCTGTGTGAGAGCTTAAAAGCATGGAGAATTAGATTGAACCACCTGCTGCAAAAACATTCATTCCTCTCTCCACAGGGACAGAGGGTCTTTGTTTGCTATTTGCTGTGGATGTTACTGTACTGTATGTAGTATATTATTTCTTATTCTTAAAATATTATTTGGGGGCATCGGTAAAAAAAAAAAAAAGAGGTCATTTCCAGTGATGGGGGTATTTGTCTTTGCTTTGAGTTTCCAGTGTGATTACATGCTGTGAATTTCAATAACGGACTCGTCTTCTGACCTGCTGCGGGGGTTCTTTGCCAGTGGGTCTCGCCCAGATTGTGCAAGAGCTGCCTTCTGCCTGGGCACTCTGCCACCGAGTCCTCTGAGGCCTGCAGCAGGCAGCATCTTCCGGCAGCTTCGGTCAAGTGCCAGCTTTGTAGCGATTGAAACCACGCTTGTTTAATTGCACCCATCTTCTAATTAGACAAGACTTTGGTGCAGTCATGTTTACATGCCTTATGTTGGGTCAACTTGATTTTTAAAATGTGTACGTGTTTATTCCAAATTTAAGATTCTTGCCCCACTGCCAGCGCACTCATTTATAAAAGGATGGTTTTTCCACTCTGTTTCCCATTATCTGGAACTAGACTCCATCAGTACTCAAAATGGAAAATTTAGGTAAAAGATCATGTCATTTCTACTAATCTAATCGATATTTTGCCTTTGAGCTTTTGCCAGCAACATTCCAAAACATTTTTCTCTGAAACGTAAAAAACAATTCCAGAAATGTTTTTTTTTAGATGGGATTTAATGCAAATCAGGAATTTTGAGGTTGCTTTTTATGAATTTAAAAATTCGTAACTATTTTTACGGTTGCGTACTCTTTACCTTTCTTGGGTTATTGTGGTAGGAATTTTCAAAATATGCATGCCAGTCTTTCTTTCACCATGAAGTGACAGTGAACACAAATTCACAGTCTGAGGCTAGTTTTCCCCTTGCAGTTTGTCTGGCATAAGCTTTGAGAAGTGTTTTGAGAGGCTTTTTTCGCGCGCTAAAAAAATTACAAAATTATGTGCAAGAGGCAAAAAGACCTGAAGAAAACACATGAAGAAAAAGAAAGTTTCAATTTTAAAGAAAATCAGATATGTTTGCGTTTCCATTTAAATTCATTTGAATGATTTAAAATTCAGTTTTAATCCTGGATTTTTTTTTATTTCCTATGCACCTGACATAATGGATATTTAAGGAAAGGAATAGTTTTCTTTTTCCAAGGACACTGTGTCTACTGAGGCAAATTCCTAGCAGTTTCAAGCATGTTTTGTGAAAAGACACAACATCAAAATGATAATTTACCCCAGCCATAATAGTGCATTCCAGAGTTTAACAACAACAGTCATTGCCATTTGAGTCAATGAGAGTTTCTGGATTTAAAAGTTTCCTTTTTGCTCATTGGGAAAAAATCACAAACACCCCTCCCGGTAGTGCCAATTACGCTTGGACACTAGCTACTCCCTTCCTTGTGTACTGTACATACAGGTAACATACTTACTGTAACAGTTTAAAGTGTGTGGATTTTTGTTTTAATGATAGTTATATTACCGAGGGCTGATTAAGTTTAGGTTTAAGGGTTTTTCCATTGTAATATAACAACTTCTTATTCCACGTTTTTTGTTTGTAACTTGTGTGTCCCAAGGAAAGCCATTTGTAGAAGAAAAATATGATCAACACCAACTAGGCAGGTTTTTCCCAGGCAATATTTGTTGTGTGTTGTTCACACTCGTCTAATTTATCCGTCAACTGGAAATCGGGGAATTGAAGGTGATCCTTTAATTTGAAAGTATTCCTTCTCAAAACACCTTAATGAGAGATATTTGTAAGAATTATACTTGAGCTTTTGTTAAAATGAGAATGGAACGTAATTTGTTCCATTGTAATGCACTAATCACCCTATTGAAATGCAATAAAGCTATTTAGAATGCCTTTAAGACTCTTAATTCAAAAATGGTAAAGTGTAAAGCTTTCTTAGATGCTAAAAGCATTAAGAAAATACTTAATTTCACACACAGAAGATCTTCTTTTGGTAATAAACAGTTTGTTGCACTGTTTTTAGATAATTGAAGTAAGCATGTTACTGTAAAGGTGCACAGTAATTCAGGAGGTATTAACACTGCAAGTTTGTTGAACACAGTTTCCATTGTACAAAAATATGCTTGATACCCTGTTTCCTGCCTTCTTTTATAGTTAGCCTTTTGGGGAATGTTTTCTTTCCTATAATTGAGGTTGTCAGTTGTGTTGTAAATTGAGATGAAACCAGTAATATTGCACCCTGAAGCAGGGGTTCTGTAGTGTTCAGGACAAAAAAGATTTGTTTTCCACCGCTTGTCTCTATCATCTAGCCCCAGAAAAGTTTCCCAGGTATTCAGAAAATCAAATCAATGTCTTTTTTTTAATAAGATGAGAATCCAGAATGTTTTTTCATTATTTTAATTTTTTTCTTTGAAATTGTCAGGTAAACAGTATACTGTATGTCTTCCATTTTTATGTCTTATTTTTCTATAAGTACAAACTTTTAGCAATGCCAACTCAACAGAAAATATATCAGCATTACCATCTTGTCTCGGAAGCTAAGCAAGCTGGACTTGGTCAGTACTGGGATGGGAGACCTTGCTGCTGTGAGTGGTGTTGGTGAGCCACCAGGTGGCATCATTAAGCATGACTTCTGGTTCAGAATTTCCAAACCAATGTTTCTGTATGATGAGAGGGCATACTTTACTGTAGGAGTTGCTGCCTTTCTGATGGTAGTCCTTGCTAAATTCAATTTCAGGTTTGTTTAATCCACCCTTCAAACAATTAGTGAAGTAGTTTCTGATTTCTCCACTTGTGCAGTAGTTTTGCTGGTTACGAATTGCTAATATGTGTTACCCAGGCGGGTGCTGCACATCAGCAGATGGTTTCCTCCTGTATGTACATATTTCTGGTATGTTTTAGGATGAAAAACTCTATACATTTATATCTATGAATGCAAACAGTTAATGTTAGTACTAGTACAATATGGAGAGGCTAGATGCTCTGATAATGATAATGCAAGTGTATAGTTATTTTTAGGTTCCTCTATAACTATTATGCAGTTGAGAAAGCCATCATACATATGTGCTCATTATTTTCAATCTACATTTACGTTTGGTTCTTTATGCTTCGTAGGTGCTCAGTCTCTATTTTTCCCTTTTGTACTAGGGCCAGAGAAGACGGATGAGTTCCTGCTGGCTAGGTTCAAAGGTGATGGAGTCCGGTATAAGGCCAAACTGATTGGAGTGGATGATGTTCCTGAAGCAAGAGGAGATAAAATGAGCCAAGATTCTATGATGAAACTAAAGGTAGATAAAAGTGCATTTTTTCAATCTCTATATGTATATGTGATGAAGTAATGTAATGAAGTTCTTGTTTTAGATTTTCTAATTGGCATACAGTTATATGAAAAGAATGAAAAGCATTAACTTAGGATGAAGTTGTTTGTAAAGAAACATTATTTTTAATCCCTAACATACTAACAAACTATTCCATAGTATGCCTTTTTATTTCATATCAATTACATATTTTATTCTTATAGTTTCAGACTATAGGTTATCTTCTTAACAGCATTTAAGTGCTATCCGTTGCAAGGTATAGTTTGAATGTCAAATCAGTGCCTTAAATGTACAGTTAATCATAATGTACAAAACCTTGATAGGGATCTTTCATCTCTGTTTACTACAAGAGCTAAGTGCTATAACTCCCTCTATTGGTAAACAAGCAAGTCAAAGTGTCTCACTCATGTCAGCTGAATATTTTTTATTGGGTTAAAAAAATGGTCAGGGTTAAATGACAAGTGACATGAACCATAATCAATATAATTAGTATGTAGTAGGAGTAGACTATTACAGCCAATAGTCAAATAGATGACTCCATGAATTTAGATATGAATTCAAATATAAAAAGATACCATATGTCACATTCTGTTTTGTTCTAGGGCATGGCAGTAGCTGCTCGGTCCCGTGGTCAACACAAACAGAGAATTTGGGTGAACATATCATTGTCTGGGATAAAAATAATTGATGAGAAAACTGGGGTGAGTTGAGAGATTTTTTACTAGGATTGGTTGGTTTAGTCCTTCTTTGCAAACTACCATTTTGGTAAGAACAGAAGACTGGATATGTGCTGAATATTAACACACCTTGAATATGTGGCTAAAGGGTGGTTTGGGGCTCGTAACTGGAAAGTCATGGGTTCAAATCCCAGGCGAAGCAAGATTCTTCACTCTGTTTGCTCCAACCTGCCCAACTATATAAATTGATTCAAATGTAAGTTACTTTTAAAGAACCATTCAGCCAAGTCCATAAATTAGTAGCAATTATGTTGTATGATAAGGAGTTGCATTGTTATGGATAAGATAAACTATAATTTTGACATATTTGCATCACAGTAGAGGAAGACTGACTTGCAGAAAATACCGGACAAAGTTTAATGTTGCATTTTCTGTTTTTGTTCTTTTAAGGTAATAGAACATGAACATGCTGTAAATAAAATATCCTTTATTGCTCGTGATGTTACGGATAACCGAGCATTTGGCTATGTTTGTGGTGCTGAGGGCCAGCATCAGTTCTTTGCCATAAAGACAGCCCAGCAGGTAAGTAAAACTGTGTTACACAAAAGGCTTTAAATTTGGGGAAAAAAAGAGAGAGGAAAAAAAAGATATTTCAAGCCTCATTAAAATCGGCAATATCTCTTATGGGCGATTCTGTATCCTTTGTCAAATGTACAAATATCAAGTAAAGTTAATTTCCATGCTGAAAAGTAGAAAGAAGAAACACTTTGGCTGTTCAGCCTTCTTCAGAGAGAGACAAGAAGGTACAATAGCACATGCACAGTAAGAAAAACAACAAAGTAACTGTGAAAAATAATTTAACTCTGTAAGCCAATGGAGAGCATTTAAAAATAAATTAGTCTACTGTTTTTTTCTGGAGAAGGATTCCTGCAATCCCTGTAAAAGGGGAGAGAAAGGCCAGCAAAACCATGGCTGGGAATTGTGAAATGAGGAACTTTTCTTGGATCTCTGATCCTCACTGTTTTGACACGTTCCCTGAAATGGTCAGCCTATGTTCTTCCTGTCTGTCATGTAAATAACAGGGCATTTTCTGCAGTCAGTGAGATTAGTAGATACAAATGGTGTTCTCTGGGTGATTTTGAAATAGCCTAAAGAGCCACATGTATGTATGATGCTGATTATACAGTATGTTTGCAGGTAGTGGATGTGGGCAGTTTAGGGAACTGTGGACAAGAAGGTTTTACAGATTAGGTGGCAGGAGTTTATTACAGGTTCTGGGGAAAAAAGTTCCAATTGAGGTGTCCTCCTGTAGAATATTTGCAAGCAGTGCCTTCTGTTACAGCAAAAGGTGTCTGACATGGATGGTGGCTATGGTCCTTTCAGGTATAGTGTTACTTAGTTTATTTACAGGCAGCTGAATGGCATCCTCTTGTTTATAATCCCATTATAGTGGCCATGTTTTCAGGTTTGGCATTGTAGGTATTGCTGTAATTACAAAAGGTACAGTATCTCTAGTAAAGTCATTATATTTCTGTTTGCTAATATGAATTATTTTATTTCTTTAGGCTGAGCCTCTAGTTATAGATCTGAAGGATCTTTTCCAATTAATCTTCAATCTGAGGAAAAAAGAAGCAGAAGGCTCACAGAAGGTAATTATAAACCAGTGTCAGTGGATTTTGTTTTCCTTTAGATTTATTTGTAAAAAAAAAACTTTTTAAATAAAATCCCTGGGATGTGATAGTGATGTGGCAGATATCCAGTCAGTGCTGAGGTTGAAAAACTGAAATTGTGTGCTTGTTTACTGACAGTCTGTCTAGGGAACCAGTTGTACTCGCAAAGTTTTTACCACTTTTTTCTTTAATTTACTACTAAATCTTGTATACTGAATTTTTATTTATTGTGTATACAGTCTGTTCTAAATTCAGCTTTTAGTTTTAGTTCAGGGAGTCTGGTTACTTACATTTCAATGGTTCTGATGCAATTTTCGGTTCTTGATTAAATTCTAATGTGTTTTTGTAAGATTCCATTCTGAAATTGTTGTTGCTTATATTGATGTAAAACAGTTCAGAAAAAAGCTTTTTTCCGTTTTTAATTTTATCTAAATAAAGTATGTACTTTACAGTATCAGGGTATAGGGAGAGAATCATATTATGAAAGAAATTGCTTACATAAAATTAATTGTAGTCATCTAGGTGAAAGGTTAGTGTGAAACTTTCTGTGCCTTGGTATTCAGTTTACTGCATGTGCATGTTTTAGTCTCTCTTAAGATCAGCTGGATCAATGGGATGTCATTTTTTTAACTCCTAAAGCTAGACGTTTAAAGCAAAATTCCTATTAATGAACTGATTATAGAGAATGCATTACAGTATTTTACTTAGAGTTCTTGCAGTCTTGCTTTAAATATTTAATATCCTGGAAAAACCTAAGGGTTTTTGTTTGGCTAGTAAATAGCTGAAAAGTAGCTTTATGTGATCCATTGTTTTGTGATTTTTCTAAAACCTTTTTGGAATACCTGACAAGTTTTTT